ATCCGGAGAAACAACATCGGGGCAGGGGTGGGTGTCTTGCCTGTGGGTCTTGACCCTGTCACTCATCACACAACAAGATAAACCATTTTCTTCCCTTTGATGTTTCTGGTCTTCAGCCCCAGATACCGCCGGCTGTTCTTCTCTGGCTGCCCATACAGCATGTTGACAAAGAACTCTGGTTCATCTTTGTCCCTGGGTTGGAAGGTCAGAAACCTAAACATTGCTCTTAGCTTGTGACACAGATAGGTCATTGCTTCTGCTTCCTCCGATGGTTCCTCATACACGGGCTGCTTCATTTTCTCATAGGTAGACAAAATCACTGCCCGAAATAAGTTGATCAATACGCAGATCATAACCAGCACGAAAGAAGAGAGGAACAGGACCCCCAGAACCCTGTTGTTGGAGAACTCGGTGTTCTGAAACGCTGGAACGCAATAGGAGAATATCGTCTGCATACCATGAATCAGGTTACTGTAGTTCCACTCGTGTTGACCAAACACCAGGGAGCCGATGACCATGAACACAAAAAAGTACACGGACACCACCAGGGCCATGTGGCAGATGCCGGGAAGGGCCGCCTGAATGGCCCTCTGAGCCAGGCGCACATCATAGAAGATTCTGGAATACCTGAGGGTCTTCAAAATGGTCAGAAATAACAGGAAACCCAAAATGATCCTCATGGCGTGATCTACTTGAGAAACTGCATGAAACGGAATGAAGTCCTCAGGGTGCGACAAGTAAAAGCGAATTATGCCAGTGGCCAAGAAGTGCTTCCTAAGGAAGAGCACAATCAGCACAGTAAATATGCATTTTAGAGCAAAGTTGAGCAGATTATACACACTTCTCACGTACGAGGCCCTTTCTTGCATGATGATATAACCCTCATCGACCACATAGGCTAAAAAAAAATGAGAATGGCCACATACAAGTAGGTTTCGGCGGAAGTCTCCCGGTCGAAATCAGCAAGCGAGAAGGAGTGCACGGATAAGCTCGTGTTCACAACCCCTAACTGAGAAGCCTCGAAAACGACAGAAATGCTACAGAACAGACTGACGTCTGGGTTGAAGGTGGTCAGCTCCAGAATCACGGCCCACGTCTTCTCATCAAGCCACTCGCTGCTCTGGAGTTCCCTGAGCCTCACGGTGGAATTAAAAGGCTGCTGCTCTGGGAAAAAATAGAACGCATAGCCTCCCGACCCGTAGGTGTGTGAGAGTCCGTGGGAGACATACCCCCAGATCGTCTCTGGAGGCTTGTAAGTAAACCCATTGGTATTCTTATCCTCAGGCCTCTTGAGCACGTTGTTCCAAAGGCTAGAGTAGCTTCTGGTGTCTTCCGGGTCAGTGCCATAGCTGGGATGACAATGGATTTCTCTTCCCATGCTGGTTTGGGCAAAGCTGGCAGGCAGGCAGAGTTTCTCGCCAGGTCTTGCCCTCACCTGCCTCAGCAGCGGAAGCCCCAGGATTTTAGAGGAGCTGTCGGGCAGAAAGGCTGGATTCGGGTCGTGGTGGACCAGGGGCACCAGCACGCTGCTCAGCCACCTGTAGATGTCCTCCAGCTTGGTCACCGAGCCGAGATCCACAGAGAACCGATCGCGAACAAACTGGTTATAGTAAAAGCTGTCCGTGTGACGCAGGAGGGCGACGAGCCTCAACAGGAGGGCGAGAAAGATGAAGTGAGTCAGAACGTAACACAGGAACAGGAAAGCCCTCTTCTTAATTGCCCTCTTCCTCTTGAATATTAGGATTTCGTCTTCGGTGAGGGGCTGGTACATCCTCGATCTTCGGAGCTCCATGATCTGCTGGTGTCGCCTTTTCCTTTCTTCTCGGTTCATCGTTCCGTGAAGCTCGATCTCAATATAGCGGTACTTGCTTGTCCATGAAAGGTTTTTACAATACTTGGGCCTACCAGCTCTGAAGCCTGACAAAAGTATAATTTTACATGGCTGCACCAGCAAAACAGACAGACAGAATGAACAAAACGATGCAAAGAGCCAGTCCATTGACTTTTCATAGCCATAGGTCAGCCCATAAAATATGATGAAGAACGAAGACATAATGGACGTGGCGAAAACCAGCAGCCACGCTATATGAAGGCACCATGAAGGCAGAATGAAACTGCTCTTCTCCTTGAGTTCCAGAGTGGGACCCGCATGGGATGGCGGCTCTCCAGAAGGAACATTTTGATTGTTATTTGTGTTTGCGTTACTGGCATTAATGTTTGTTGCCTGGGTGTGCGAGTCCCTGCTCTCTTTCTTCTTAGGCTGGTGCCGCGTCGCAGACAGCGCCTGGGCAGTCTTTTGAAGTCTGGGCCTTTTCCCAGTTGGAGGCTCCAAAGGCCCCTTGATGGATGAGTCCCCTGATTCACGAGCATACCATCTTCTCAGAAATTCCTCCCAGTATAAATTCTCCAGCTCCATGGAAGAAGTCTTCCGGGGAGATACCTTTTCTAGAGTCACACGAGGTTCCCTCTGGGAGTAGGTGAAGAGAAAAATGATCAATATTTGCAGAGGCAGCGTAATTAACACACTTTCCAGTCCTATCATCATTGACCTGACGTAGCTCCCCTCTCCTGAAGCCAAATTTTCTGGTCTGTCGAGATTAAAGAACATAATATTACACAGAAGGGAGGCCATCAGCACTGCCAAACAGCAGGACAGTCTCTGCAGCCGATTGAATGGGCTATCAATGATAGTGGAGAAAATAGAGAACCACAGGTGATCTCTCCCCATCCTGTAAGCTGATTCTATCAGGAAATAGTCCTTTCTGTCGATAGGCTGGTCTGGGTCGGTAACACGAAGTGTTCTGTCCAAAGAGGTGTCAATACAAAGCCATTCCCGGCATAAAAACAGCCAGATGTGTCGGCTGAACAGATTTTCTACCTTGACTCTGCTTAGATACCAGCTGGGGGATTTGCCCTCATTGTTGTGCCACACACGAATGGAATGGATGTCCCCCAAGTCCCTTTTTGTGGTTAGGAGAAAAGTGTTGATGCCTCCACGGTAGAGTGTTGCAAAATACGGATGGCTCAGACAATGCACATCGCTGGCACCTTCCGTTCCCATAAGTTGAATGAAGACATCGGCCCTGGTCCCAGCCCGATAACGGCTTCCTGTAAAAACAGTCACGAGGTAACACACCTTATCATAAGGGTCATTATCAAGTAGAATTATCACATGTTGCCGAAGATACTGATCCATGTCATCCCTGTGCAAGGCCCAGAAAGCTAGGATTATGTACATCAGCATAATGAACAGTACAGTGAAGAGCGTCACAGGGTTATGGGTAACGTTCTTGATGACCTCCAACCGTAGGTCCACAGCATTGGGGAGCACAATCACAATGGCCGTCAAAAAGTGGGTTTGCAGGTGCCTGCTGGCCTGTTTTATTAGATCCAGCTGCCGCCGGACCCTCCTTGTGCTTTGGCAGATGCAGTGCACTCTTAGCCAAGTGGTCCTCTCTCCGAGAACACAGGTGTCTTCTCTCCAGTCGCTCTGGATCCCATACATGTCTAGGCAGTGAGCACTGAAAAGAGCGATTCTCACTAGCTTGTCATTGGCTGTCATGACAAAACGAGGTGCCTGCAGAGCAATGATCAAGGTGCACTCAGACGAGCCGCCTCGCTGAGCTATGACTTGCAGCAGGGACGCTGGAAGGCAAACCACGCGGGCCTCCCTAACGGCACAGGCTGAGCCGAAGAGCTCACTATGGGTGGCCATGGGAGGGATGTCATGGGGCACAAAGAATGTGGCGACCAGAGCAGTGGGGGTAATTTTAGTGCCGGCGTATACCAACACCGTGAACAACACGGTCACTTCGGTCACAATGTGGACCAGCAACTCCTTCACTACACTGCTGTCCACCTCAACCCTAAACTCCCCTGTCGTCCTTTTCAAGGACTCATCAGCTCCCCCGGTCTCACTCTCGGGTCCCACTGTGAGGTTAAAAGCTGCAAAGCTCAAGTTTTTTCTGGCGATGTACACTTCTGCTACATCAGGCATGATCTCGACCACGTCGCCGTCAGGCGTGGTCCCTGTCATCCTGAATCCAACCACCTCCGCAGAACAGCTTTCCTGCTCATTCATCCAAGGAAACGGATCATCAGCAAACTCACAAAACATGGTGGAAATCAGGGCATTTTCATGTAAACTGGGAATACTGCTCACATTTAGCATCGGACGAAAATAATTTCGACTGCTTTTCTCATCCCTGAAGATATCGGTAACATCCCACCTTTCAGTTTTCCTGACATACACGTTAAGGCTGGAGGCCGTCATTGCGGTGGTCTCGTTCCCTGGCACTTTACCCTCCAACACTGTGTCTGCTAGTGATTCCAACACATAGAAAGGCTCGTCAACCACTTCATAGCTAACGGTCAGTTTCAAGATATTAGACAAAGTTGTTAATATCCCAGTGCTCACAGTTTCTATTTGTTCAGAGTGAACGTGTGCGTCATTCTGTCCAGACTGCTGTAGGGCTCGATTTGCTAGCCAAATCCTCACTGTGGCCAGTTTCTGAGCCATTCGAGTGAATCCGGCGGTCGTCTGGGTTAATTTAGTAACACTCATGACTACCTGGCTAATTTCCACCAAAGTGCTATTGGGAAGAATGAAAGTCTGGTTGACAAGGTATTCCCGGAGTCTGGCTTTGTCAGCTTCCAAACTTAATTCAGGTTTCATGTTATTCAAAACAGAAGCTGCTATATATATTAAATAACCTGCAGGTAGAAATTCCTGGCTGTCAAGCAAAGTAGAGAGCGATGAATTTGGTCCCATGGTGAAATTGAATAAGCGATCGAGCACACCCTTCGCTGAGATTTCATCCGTAGGGGCATGTACGGTCGCGAACAAAGTCGCCTGAGAAAAAGCTCCTAGAGAGTCATACACCTGAACAGATATCTTCATGGCATAATGATTAGCCAACACACCCACAGGGAGAAAGGAAGGGGGCGATGTGGATTCATTCCCCATATACAGGATGGCCCCCAAGGTGTTCTCTTTTACAGAACTGATCTGGCCCAAACCATACAAATCAGAGACTACCATTTTGTATGTAAGAGGGAAGTTCTTATCCTTAAAATTAGAGCACCGGATGACAAACCTGGTAACAAAGGCAACTCCTGTAGCTGGATTAATGCTGCACTCTCCGGTTTCAGGGACATGGTTGATAACAAAGGGGTGCTTCAAGTCCACGTTATGCCCACTCCAACTTGCTAGATGCACAGAAGCCCAAAACTTAGCTTCAGGAAAATCCTTCAAAGCAAAAGCTTTTATAGACAAATGAGCCCCATTCCTCCCTGTTGTGGTGTGTTTCGCCCAATCAAAGTTTACCTCATCCCCCAGAGATGACAGAATCGACCATTCATATGCATCCTGGCGTGTCGAACCATTTGTGCAATTGAGAAACAAAGAAAATCTGGCTGAAATACCCAAAACGGCATCACAATTTTCAATACACGAGATGTATGCTGTGGGGGGTTCTCCTTTGAGCACGTGTACCTTTCTATCAATATAGCCTGTCCTAGCACCCTTGCGGATCACCATTCTGAAGAAATACACACCTCCACCTTTCAGTGTTCCTGGCTGAAGTGTGAGGACAGGGCCAGAGGCCTCCTTCCACTTCAGATTAGTCTGCTTTGGGGTGCAGACGCTGTTGCTCATCACCGTGATTTTACGTCCCTGGTAGTTTTTCGGATCGGTGGTACAGTACCAAGAAAAAAGGAGTCCCTCGGATGGGTCGTCCGAATCTGCATCAGAGGATGTCTTTCCTTCCAGAACCAGCTTGTTTGTGAATTGGATTACTAAGTTGGGATTGCCAGGAATGACTGCCAAAAGATCGCTTCTAGTGATGTTGACATAGATGAAATCTGAGCCTTTTGTCCTAAGTGCCTTTGTTTTTGCATCGAAGATGTTGAGTGTGAATCTGAACGCATACACCCCGAAAGATAAGGTTTTGGGGCGGATTTCCAAATGTAGTGGAGATATCCCAAGTCTGGTGTCCCGTGTTTTCAAAGGTGCATTCCAGTCCGGGATGTTGTTTACGGAGCGCACGGGAAAGACATGCCACTCTGGAACAACTGAGGTGGTGTTAGGGCAGTTGTGCTTAATGGATACACTGAGGGTAGCCTCCATCTTCCTGGTCAGCACCAAGGGTTCACCATCTTTGCTCCTGTTGATCTTCACCATGGTGATCGCACAGGGCTCGTCTGGGGATACCTGGCAGGACACGGAAGACTGGATGGCTTGAGGCCCGTCCGAGCTGACAGCTTCCAGGACAACAGGCGTGGGCCCATCCGTGGGACACTCCGTTTGGGCCACGAAGCCCGCGGAGGGGCGAGGCCCGGCGGCCGGCAGGTCGGAGGTGGAACGGCGGGGGCGCCGAGGGCCGGCGGGCCGCAGCGGCACGAGCCAGAAGGTCCACTCCGGGCGCCCGAGCGCGCGGGGCAGCGCCGTGCTCCACAGCAGGGACAGCCGGCCGCGGCGCGCAGACAGCCGCAGGTGCACGAGCGCGGGCGCGGCGGCCAGGCGCGCGCGCAGCAGGACGCGCAGCAGGACACAGAGCGGGCGCGCGGGGCCGCGGGGCAGGCAGAGGCGGCCGCCACCGGCCAGGATCACGCCGCCGCCAGGGGCCGCGCGGGGCCGCAGTCGGACGCGGGCGCTGCCGGTCGCCTCCCCGAGGCCCGGGGCGGCCCTCCAAACGCGCAGCGCGGCCGCGTCTCCGAGGGCCGTGCTGGGAGTCCGGACGGTTGGCGGGAGGCGGCGGGCCGAGGCGGCATCTGATGGGTGGGGTCCGGACGCGGCGGCTGGGGTCGCCGGGGAGACAGGGATAGCAGCCAGGGCTCTGCCAGGAGCCGTGGGCCCCGGGAGGCGGCCGCGACCCAGGCCCAGGCCCAGGCCCAGGCCCAGGAGGATGAGAAGCAGTGTTCTGGGCCGCATGGTGCTGCCTGACGGGCAACCTGGGAGCCGCGGCTATAGCCGCGGGGTCTGGCTAACCGTCTGGTGTTGTGGGTGGGGGATGTGGGGGGGGGGCGGGGCTTGGGGGGGGGCGCGGGCTGCGGGTCACCACCCTGGAGCATGGAATGGGGTTGGGCTTCCGGGGTCCCCCTCCCTTTCCTGCTCCTGTAGTTCTCCAAGCAGGAGTGCTCACGGAATTAAGGTGGCCCAGGCTCCCAACAACCTGGAAAGGCCCCGCCTTAGTTGGAATCCTGTCCCCTGACAAAACCACAGGGATGGTAGCTCCCTGAGAGCCCAGGGAGGTCTGACTCTGGGTTTCTTGATTTGCTTTTCCTACTTTCTTAGGATGAAACCCCGAGTCCTTGTCTTTAGATCTTTTTCATTTCTCTAGAAGCATTTAATGCTGTAAATGTCCCACCAAACACTGCTTAACTGCCTCCTGCATGCTTGCCTAGTTTTGTTATCATTCAGTTTAAACTATTTCTACTTGCCCCTGTTTGGGTTTTGAACCATCAGTTCAAATGGTTGTTTAATTTCCCGGTATTTGGAGCTTGTGCGAAATCCTACAGTTATGCTGGTTTCTAATTTAAGTCAGTCGTGGTCAGAGAATACACTCCATCTGCGACTGAGACTTGCTTGAGAGCCCATACAGTAGAGTGGTCTGTATGGTCCTCGTGCCCCTAAAAACAAGGTGTGTCTCCCGTCATTGGGTGGGTTGTCCTACAGAGGTCAACTAGATCCAGAGAGTTGGTACCCGAGAGTTTCATCTTGTATGTCTTCCCTGGATTTTCTCTAGTTTTTCTATCACTCGCTGAGAGAGGCTGTTACTCTCTCCTGTGCTGACTGGGAAATTGTGTCTTTGACCCTTTCTTTCTGTCCATCTTTGCTTCATGTCTTTTCAGGCTCTATTAGATGGATACACATTTGTGTTACGTCCATGTGAATTGGTCCTTGTCTCGAGAGGAGATGTTTCTGTTAATCTCAGTAATCATCTCTGGAAGTCTGTTTCACCTGATGTTCAATGCCAGATGATATGTTGATTGTATCTGAAAAAAAAACTGGAAAATGAAATAAAATAGCCACACTAGCCTTCTTATGCTTACTGTCTCCATACCGTATCTTTTTATCATTCATATCCTTTTCAGCTTATGTATGTCTTTGTAATTAAAGCGGTCTTTTGAAGGCAACATGTAATAGGGTTTTCTTTTCTTATCCTCTGTCTCTGAGTGCACCACCCCAAAGGATAGGCCATTGTCAGGACAGAAGAAGGCAGCCATCTGCAA